CTGGACAGGTTACAGGGGTGGGCAGATGAGAACAGGATGGGTTTCAACACTGACAAGTGCAAGGTGCTGCACCTGGGGAGGAAGAAGCAGCACCGTACCTACAGGCTGGGGAACTCCCTTCTTGTCAGCACAGAGGCAGAAAAAGATCTTGGAGTCATTACTGATTCCAAGATGAACATGGGCTGCCAGTGTGGGGATGCAATCAGGAAGGCTTAACCACACCTTGTCCTGCGTCCACAGATGCATCACAAGCAGGTGCGAGGAGGAGATGGTCCCCCTCTATGCGACACTGGTCAGGCTGCAGTTGGAGTACTGCGTCCAATTCTGGGCACCGCACTTCAGGAGGGATGTGGACAGCATGGAGAGGGTCCAGAGGAGGCCACTTGCATGATCAGGGGGCAACAGGGCAGGCCCTACCAGGACAGGCTAGGGGACCTGAACCTGTTAAGCCTTCACAAGAGAAGGCTGAGGGGGGATCTAGTGGCCATCTATAAACTTACCAGGGGGGACCAGAGGGGAATGGGTGAGACCCTGTTCCCCTGAGCACTACTGGGAGTAACAAAGAATAACAGCCACAAGTTGACTGAGAGTAGATTCAGGCTAGACATCAGGAAGCGCTACTTCACAGTCAGGGTGGCTAGGATCTGGGACCAACTTCCAAGGGAAGTGGTGCTCGCCCCTACCCTGGGGGTCTTCAAAAGGAGGCTAGACAATCACCTAGCCAGGGTCGTTTGACCCCAGCATATTTTCCTGTCCATGGCAGGGGGTCAGACTTGATGATCTGCTCAGGTCCCTTCCGACCCTGCCACCTATGAAACTATGACATCCATTGGCTTATGCCAGGGTAGTGGGGTAGAATGTATATTTGCAGCATCATACCTATTTGCTATCATCTGTTTTGTGACCGCTGATTTAGACAGTATGGTATTGAAAGAGGGCTCTGAATCTTCACCTGAAAATGACACAGGGCTCCTAAACACTGGCACAAATAAGGCAGTAAAACAGGTCATTCCAGGTCACAGTGCTCATGGTATTCACCACGCCTTTTCCCACTCCTGGCCTCATATACCAGGGACCTTAAGCATGCAAATATGTCCTTCATATGACATTCTATAGCCAGGGATATTGGTTTTCACACCATCTTTCATGTTTTCAGATACAGGCCTTGTTCTAACACAGACAACAGTTGCTAGCCTGGCATGCAGCTTTCCCACTTTGTGAATCTGGTAGATATGCAGCACGATCTGGAAGGCCACAAAGCAGGTTTGGAGACTGAGGGTGTTGAAGGAAGTCACACTAGTGACTCAATGTAAAATGCCTCTCCATCCAAGACAGCATTGTTTTAGATGGTGCCGTCTTTCCGGTGAAGGGCTGACTAATTGTAAAATGTAAGTCCCAGACCCTCTGGCTATGACCAGGATACAAGGCAAAATGCCAAGGCAAGTTGGCCCAGTTTGGATAATTGTCTTCTCCCCATGTCAATGTCCTAACAGTTTCAGTTAGACACAGCTTCCTTTATGTCCTTATTACTGTTTGATTTATTTGATGGGCCAACAGCTTCAGTTGATAGGTTCTATCCCAAAAATGGCTGCGTTTCATTAATGAAACAATCCTCTAGTCTTAATTCACAAGGGGAGTGAGAGGCTGAATTAGTTTTGATTTTAATATTTATAAAACACCCTAAATCCTTGGACAGTATTTTTGCTGGCAAAAATAATTATATGAATAATTAAATATTACTCCAGGTAGTAAATTGCTTTTTTTCTTTCCATGGATGGAACTTTTGATTGTATTCTGTAAACCTGCTATACTCTGCGAAAGCTTTAATAGCATTGCTGCTTGTGCAATAATATGATCGGGAACTCTTATGCTATCATTACTTGTTTATATCAATTTCAAAGAAGAAAATAAAGGATCTGAATTTTCCAATAACTTGAATATATCAGCACGTGTCCAAATTACTAGGCCTGTGCAAAAGCGGCTAGTATTCGCTTCAGATTCGGATTTCTCTGATTCAGGAGAGAGTGATTTGATTTGGTGATTTGAATCACCGTACTGAATCAATTCAGCCAAATCTGATTCAGAAATTCAGCTGCTGCCGAATCTCCAAATCACCCAGGCCAGGCCCATCCCCCGCCTGCTCTCCCAGCCCTGGCAATGGCTGTCCCACCTGCCCCAGCTCCTGGCACTTGGAAAAAGAAATCCCAACTCACTGGGTGCTGCCGGGTGGGAGGGCAATCCCCACTGCATGGGGGGCTCTGTCATGAGCCCCCCAACCCCCCCGCTGTCCCAGGCCCTCCCTCCCATGGCTGCCCCATCTGCCCCAGCTTCGGCCCTTTAAGGAAAAAATCCCCCCCAAACCCCAGACTCACTGGTTCCTGCCCAGTGGGGGGCGATCCCCACTGCCCTGTGCCATGTGGGGGGCTCTTCCATGAGCTCCTTGAAGCCCTGAGGCTGTTGCTGGAGCCAGTGAGCCCAGGGTTTCTTCGTGGGTTTTTTTTCTAAAAGGGCTGGAGCTGGGGCAGGCAGGACAGCCATGGCGGGGCTGGGAGAGTGCAGGGGTGGATCAGGGGGCTCATACAGAGCACCCCATGCAGCATAGGGCAGTGGGGGCCAGCAGGGATTGCCCCCCACTGTCTGGCAGTACCTGATGAGTTGGGGCTTTTTTTTAAAGCACCAAGAGCTGGGGTGGACAGGG